TTTCACTGATAACCCGATATTTTTCTTAGACTAAATGGTGAACTTCAGCTTTTTTTTTTTGTCTTCTGTTTTGCATACCTTCAAGGTGGCTTGGTTAAAATTGAGTTCTCATTAAGCAAAACTACATCATCTCAGATTAAACCTGAGACAATTTTATGTTAGACAGACATTTTAAAGTTCTATTAAAATAATTGCTCAGAATATTTTAAATACAGTGTACTCCTTGGCACTGTTTCCTAGACATTTACCTGTTAGAATTCAGGGTATAATGACATGCAAAGGGACAGCCAGTCTGTCCCACAGTCTTGATTCCAGATGTCTTTTTTTTTTTTCCCTTTTATTTTTTATCATGTAGAATGGGTACTTTTGGAAATTCAGCACAATGGCTCTAAATGATGATCACAGTGAATGGAGAGGGGTAATTTTGTGGACATTGGACGTGAGTTGGAGTTCTCAGTAACTTGGGGTGGTTTCTGCATACCTGCTGGTAGGTGTATTTACAGTGTCAAATGCCAGGTTGTATAACGCAGCACAACCCAAAGGTGAAGGGCAGCATGAAGAAGAGTGTCAGCCTTAAGGCTGGAAATCACTGATGATGAGTTGGCAGAGCCAACTGAAGTGAGCTGCTATCTTGCAAAGGCAGTTCAGAAACACAGTGAGTATGCCTTGGATTCTGTGTTGTGGTGTCTGCACAGCTTCCCGTACTTGGAAAGCTTATTTAAAGCTAGTTATGTCTGTGCTGTACAGAGGTTAGCAGTGCAGTTGTATCCTAATCTTGGTTGATTTAGCACCCTTTTATCCCCTGGAATTTGCAGTTGGCTGGACTTTTCTACCTCTTAATCAGGTTGTGTAGATACATGAACCAAAAGAGTAAGAGGCTCTTTCCTATGACTGTAGAGATGACAGTAAATATAGGAAAAAAAAATCCTTGCTAAGTAGCTTAGTAACTGTTTTAAGGGGGTTGGTTTTGTTCTTTCAATGACTGGTTGAAAGGAATGAAAGGCCTAAAGTATTTGGTATGTTGGTAGTGAAAATGCAGTGTACTGTAAACCAAATTCTGCTGTGCTGAATGATTCTGTCAGTACTTCAACCAGTAAATATGTGTTGGGGCAAGTCCTTAAGGGAAAAATAATTTATAGAAGTAACATGGATTCCACCAGGTGATCCAAGAGGAATCTTTCTAGATCATAATGCTTATTGTGGCTTTGGTTACCTTTTGGTAATGGCCCAGGTTCTGGTGAACACTGGGTTAAGCTTGTCTTTAAACACAGAAGCAGTGGGGCTGGCTTAAGTGTGGCTTGAAGCCAGAAATGCTGTTAAAGGTTTAAATACGTTATGGCCTCTGTCTAAAAATCACAGTTGTGTTTTTCTTGATGACAGAGTAGTTGTACCCAAGATTGCTCTAAACAAATGGAAGATTACCCCTCCTCCCCCTGCCTTTTTTTTTATGGTCATACATTTGACCTCTGTTCTTGTTAAGCTCTCCTCAGTGTTCTTAAGTCTTCTGTCTCGATTGCTATATAAAAGATGGTTGCCATAAAACCAAAAATGCTGTAGGTGAGAAGGGTAGGGATGTTAATATCAGACATACTAATGGATAATGTAGCGTTTCAAGTGAAATCCAGGAGTCTTCCAAGAAACTTGAAGCCAAATTCATATTATTCATGTATAGTTTCCCCCTGAAGCTAATTAATGTTTTCAAATACAGCCATGTGAGATCATGTATTCCTTTTTTAAACCGTATCAGAAAAGATAATTAGTATTTTCATTTTGATATTAAAATCAGCCTGGATATTTTTTCCTGAATTTTGTTTATTTAATAATTGAAAATTTCCTATCCTGATCTCTATATGGCATGGGAACATGGAACAATCACTAGAGCCAGGAATGATAATGGAAAGATTAAAGTAAATGTCTCAGCAGAAAGCTGTGGGGAGAAGGCTCAGTGAAAAGCAGAATTTTCTCCAGAAAATTCTCCAGAAAGTGGCTCAGATGGAGAGAAAGAGTGGCTTTCCTCTATGGCTTGTCAGGAAGTCTGCTGTATAGAAGGTGAGGGTTTATGCAATATGCAGTGGTACATTAGTAGTGCTTTGTTGCCAGAGCTATGATTCTCCAGCCTGTGAGATGACAGCTGCCATATTTTTATCTGGAATTGCCAAGGCAGAGCCCTGAAGACGTGTGCAGTGAAGTGCTTGTGCAGTAAGTTGTTAAATATAAATAGTTTGTGTGTACCCAGTAAGTCCAATGCTTACAGGAAGCATATGACTGATCCTACACAAAATATATGGGTTGTAGGTGGATGTGCAGCATATCCTTTGAATGCCTTCCAAAAGTGTCAGATCAAGACAGAGATACTCGTTGGCTGTACACTGCATGTGCTTAGAAGAATGCTTCAGACTTGCTGTGCGTACTTGTCGCAATTGATGGATGTGCGTATAGTACACGTGTCTGGGATGTCTTGGTGTACAGCAGCTTGTTTGGAGCAATGCTTGTAGCAATTCTGATGGAGCTGCTGTTCTTCTGGAAACAGAGGGCAAGTAAAATCTGGGAAACATGTTTGGGATGACTCAGACATATGGCAGCCTTATGTTGGATTCTCTTCAGTTGTTTACAGCTGCAGGAAATAAAGAGTCAAAGAGGAGCCTGCTGGGTTATGATACTGCCAGTGGTGTGGCGTTTGCCTGCTGTTTTCAGGTTATGGGCCTGCAAAGAGGAAAGACTGTTGGTGTCGGAGAAAGGAATGGCCTTGGAGAATACACCTCAAAATTGCATGGGGAAGGGGAGAGAATGAACTAAAACCAGTAATTGCCGCAGCTGATGTATGTATTAATTCCCAAAATGCTCTTTTGTATCCCCGAAAGTGGACTCTAGATTTGTAGACTTTGGTAGCTGCTTTAAGGCCTTGGTTGTATAATCCTTCTCCTTCAGAACAGAGGCCTGGTGTTTAAAAGGGTATTAAAACCATACTGATGCTTCCAATGTCCTTGAAATAGGATTTTTAGCATTTTTATTTTTCTTAAAATAGGCCTCAGCTCCTGCTCCTTTTCTCCCAGCTCTCCAACAAAAACAGATCATAATGCAGCACAAAGGTCTGTGTATGAAGCAAGTTATACAAGTAGGACAGTAAAACCTCCTGCTGCTTGTTCAAAAAGATGTTCTCTCTGGTAATCCAAAGTGTTGGTTTCAAGGCCTCTTGTTGCTCAGACAGTAGGCTGAGAAAGTTGGGGCTGTTCAGCCTGGAGAAGAGAAGGCTGTGTGGAGACCTCATAGCAACCTTCCAGTATCTGAAGGGGGCCTATAGGGATGCTGGGGAGACTTTTCATTAGGGACTGTAGTGACAGGACAAGGGGTAGCGGGTTAAAAGTTAAACAGAGGAAGTTTAGATTGGATATGAGGAGGAAATTCTTTCCTGTTAGGGTGGTGAGGCACTGGAATAGGTTGCCCAGGGAGGTTGTGAATGCTCCATCTCTGGCAGTGTTCAAGACCAAGCTGGACGAAGCCTTGGGTGAGATGGTTTAGTGTGAGGTGTCCCTGCCCATGGCAGGGGGGTTGGAACTAGATGATCTTAAGGTCCTTTCCAACCCTAACCGTTCTATGAGTCTATGTAGCACCATGGCATGTTGAGTACCAGTCCAGAGAACGTGGCGGCTTTAATTCTGTGTTGTAGGAGAAGGATGACAAACAGCTGGTTTGGGTGATTTAATTCTGTGGTGTAGGAGAAGGATGACAAACAGCTGTTTTGGGTAATGAGTGGAAGAGCACACGAGAGGCTTTCTCTGAATATAGGCATTCTTGTGCATCACTTACTGTGTTTTTGTGGGTACAGTTTGATAACCACTGGTTGCAAGACTAACAAGAAGATGGGTCTGCAGGAGTAGACAGTCAAGACTGCTCAGTAGCAACCAGAAGCAGGGGTTACACATCAGGCTTAGTTTACAGATCTGCTGTCTTGTGCTGGTTGAGTGTTGTATACATTAGTTTGAATTAGTTGTTGGCTCTGGATGGTAGTTTTACAGTGGTGATTCAGCATTGGTATTGTCTTTCCTTATAAAGCAAAACAGTTTGCTTACTGCTTCTTTCTTCAGAAATTCAGCTATTATTGTAAATGATTGGAATTAGCTGTTTTCTAATGGTTGTTTTGAGTGCACACAGCCATTGAATTAGACTTTCTGCTACAAACCCAAGTAATTTCCTAATTAGCACCTTAAAGGATTACCTTTAATGCTGCCTTCTGCAACTTCTCTTCTTAAATTTCTCCTTTTTTCATGTCTTCATCTTAGTCTTTTTTCAGTCTCCTCCAGCTGCCAGGCATCTGCTGATTGTCACATGAGCTGCTCTACTTGTGCTTGGACAGAAGAGAAAAAAGTCGGACTCCTCCTTCACAGTCATTCTTGTCTTGATTTCCATTTAAACTTTATTATGGTTTAATTTCCTATTTCCATTCAGTAGCCCTCACTTACCAGCCCTCCTCCCCCTCAGTCTATTTTATTTGTTCCTTTGTGGTTGTGGTGATTGGCCTCTGTTGCTTTCCTGTGCTGGGGAAGAAGACAGAAGGATGCAGTTAGTGAGAGGAGATGGCTTCTTGTAGGAGCCAAGGGAGGACCATCCTGCTCACTGCAGTGCTGTCAGATCTGGTATGGGGATAGACTCTTGTGATTCAGCCAACATGGAACAACTGTGGTGTTTAGTTACTCATTAAAGCGATAAAGGCACAATATTTAGCAGATAGGATTAGATCAGTGTGTTTTACTGTGATGGGTGCATCTGTTTGGCTCTGTTTTCTGTCTGTTCTGGCTCATAAGCTGTTGAATGTAGTATTTTATATTGTTGAGACTAGCCGTTACAGTAGCATTTACTGCATCTTGCTGCAAGGGTTAATAAAATCGGTCTTCTAGTTTTCTTTTAAAATAGAGATGCTTCTCTTTTATGGGGATGTTATGTCTGTCTAGGATAATGCTACTTAAACATACATAATGTATATATTTTGTTTGCAATTCTAGGAATGCTTTAAGGGAAGCTGGGCTACTCACAAGTTATTACACAAGAAAGCAAGTAAGTACATTTTAAAAATCCATTTTAATAATGTTTTGAATTTGTTTTTTCCTGTACTGCCAGCTGTAGATGGCCCTGCTTAAGCAGGGGGTATAGAGGACCTACAGAGGTCCCTTCCAACCTCAACTGTTCTGTGATTGTGTGTCTAAGAGTGGTATGGGTGTTTCCAAGATATATGGCACTGGATTCCACATATCTGAAATTTTGTCTGGTTCCTGATACTCTTAAGGATCTATGTAAATTTTTGGACCTAGTGGTACAGATCTGTTTCTGTTCCCTTTTCTTTTTGTGTAAAGCATTCTTCAAGCTACATTGCTAGGTGCATCAACAAAGAAAGAGGGATGCTGAAATAAAGGGCAAGGAGAATAATAAACTGTAATTATAAGGCATTGCCAGGCTTGTGCCATCATAGCATCTTGATACCTAATGTAGTAAAAGGCAGTAAAGTGGGAAAGGTCTGTGTGAAGGCTTTGTGATAAGACACTTGGTGGGATGCAAGCAAGCCAGTCAGAGTGTAGCTGGGTGTACGTTTGGGGTGGTGGACCCCTTTGGGAAAAAAAGGAAGATGTTTTTGAGTACTGAAGCAGCCATTCATGGGAGGATGTATCATAGCTAGGATTTTGCTGAGTTTAGTTGAAGGCAATAAGAATATCTGTATGCCTTAGTTACAGCTGGTAGCTGTGGCACAGAAATACTAGTAGACTGGTGGATTCTCCCTTATCTGAGTAGTAAAAATAATCCATTAGTTTAAAACCAAACAATCGAACAGAGAAAGTCTTGCCTCCTCCCTGCTACTCCCCTGCCCATCTTCATCAATTCCTGCTTGAAAGGGAGGTGGGAATAAAAAGTAAGTGGCATGGCAGGGATTCAAATCCTCCAGTAATTTATATCCTCCTTTCCTAAAATCCAATAAAACTCCGTTTTCCATGATAGATGTTGCATGGTTATTAGGTTGGAGTAGCACAGACAATTACAAATGTTTTCCTTCTGTCTGCCTACCTAGCATAAGGGGTCACATAGTTCACACTTGCAGTCTGAATCCTGTTACTTTGTACCTGCATGGATATGAAACAGTGTTTGTTGTTAGTGCTGGTAGTCCTGGGGTGCAGTCTTCTGCTTCTGTTTATCTGACAGCAATTTTTTCTACAGCTCCACTAAATCCGTGATCTTGTTAGCTTCCTGGGTAACTGTTGAGCCCAAGTTGAGCTGGCAAGACATCAATGCAACAAACTGAAGCATCTCAAGGAAATCCAAAATACTGCTTCATTAAAACTTTTGGTTTTTAGAGTATCCTTTCTCAGTGGTTTATCTAAACTGAATGCCACGTGAGCAGATGCCATGTGAGCAGACGGCTCAGCTGTCAGCCACAGAGGCTCTAAGGAACTCAAGTTAGGGCTTGCTATGGCAGACCTTTGCCATCTCTTAATTCTTATGAGATATAAACAGAGATGAGTTAACAATTAATGCTGCTGTGCTCTTTCTTAACCCTTGCCTCCTCTTTCCCAGGAAATATTTTTCCTTTCGGTAATGCTCACAAGCCACTTGCTTCAATCCTTTATGCAAACACCTTAAATCTACACCATTAGACTGTGTTATTTGTGAATGAAGTCAGTCACTGGAGCACATTAGACATGAATTTCACAATGTTGAAAAAACTGGGAACTTCCAGCAGGTTGGGACCATCTTGGAAGGTGCACACACTGCCTGTCCTGAAATGCAGAAGTGACAGCAGTCGCACTCTCTCCATCAGATCTGGAGGAGCTGTGGGTGCCATGTATTGAAACTAATAGTTGGATACTGTTAAGCCTTCTCATCCAGGTCATTTCTGTCACTGAATGCTAAGACGAATTACAGAAAAGGAAGATTAATTTACAGTGCAAGAATGTTAATTGAAGGGATGATTCTTTCTGTAGAAATATGCTTTCTCCCCAAGAATTAAAACATGCACAGAACTAGGTTTTAGAACTATATATTAAGAGCAGCTTAAATAATTACTACACTTTATTTGTGCATTCAGCACTGCTGTCCTGACATTCCCCAGTTTGCTATTGAATAGAGCTGGCAGGATGTGAATTTTGAATGTGAAAAACTTAAGGGCAATACAAAATGAGGACTGCTACTTACACTTTTATATATCAATATCTAAAACACCAGCAAGAGTCAGATCTGGACTGATGTACTTCTGAGTCACTTTCTGGACCCCGCAGTTCTTATTCTCAGTAGGACTGATTTTGCTGCTGCCTTTTTTTTTGTCTTTTCAGAAGATGAAAAAGCGAAGCGTGAAGTTTCCTCTTGGACCCTGGAAGGTGATGTTAACACAAATCCCTGGTCTGGTTATCGATACACTGGTAAACTCAGGCCACATTATCCACTGGTAAGCAACAGGTGCCACTGTACTCAATTGCTGCTACGTTCTGTAGCAACTAATGGACCAGTCCTGACTTACTACTTCACATTTTAGATGAGAAAGGAAAGCTTCTTAAGCAATCTCAACCTGATGGCAAGGACATGTATGACTCTGTCCATATTTTTTTTGTGGTTCATTTTAATTTAACTTATCTGTATCTTGGTGTATTTAAAATTAGTGCATGTGAGGTGATATCCATCAGTAACAGGCTTAAGCTCATGCCTTTTGGCTGTATGTTTTGACATGTGTTCTGCTGCTAGTTGAGATGATGTCTCCTAGCTCTTTACTGTTCGCACCAATAATGGAGCAGTCTGTTTTGGAAAAACTCAAATGAATTAATTTTTAATTAAAAAAGGTTTATTTTATGTAAATGGTTTGAAATAATCTGGTGAATGAGCTGGTGAACAGCTTTGCTGAAGGAACAGAGGTTTTGGTGACCTCCAGCACTGGAATAGTGAAGAGTAACTGAGATAGTAACATTCTGAGCTGTGAAAGTTAGATTTAGAACACAGTCTCAGTATAGCTGTATTTTTAAATTGGTATAAATTTATACATGGAATGAGCCAAAGTTTTTACCCAAATAATGGCATTTCATTTACATTTGTCTTTTCTAATTGTCCTGTGGTAGAAATGCTGCCCCTGTGGCATCTTCTCTATAGTCTTCCCCATCTGTCACAGGCTCTAGAGAACAGATTAACAGAGCCTGAGCCCATGTATGTTTGTTAGTGTAATTGAAGAAAGGGTGTTTTGTCTCTGTCACCAGCTAAGTAATTTAGTAGTGTTACCGCTTTTTTGTCTTCTGACTGCTGTAGGATTATTGAGGCAAGTGAAACTATAATAAAAAGTGCTAATGACTAGGGTGATGAGTAGGAATAGCAATTTTGCTAATAGACATTAATAACCAGAGAGAAGAAGGATGCCTTTGGAACCAGTGCGTTTGCCATCTGGAAAATAGCAGAATAAACACCACAGTGTAACAGGGTAATACGGTATAAAACCAATCTCATTTACTTGACACACAAAAGTTTAATCTTTCCAAAGCTGTGATGTTGGCTGTTAGAAGATGTATAATATGAGAGCAGTAAAGAGTAACAGGAGAATCTTTAAGAAAAAAAAATTTGATGCGTTTTGGAGTGTTTGCGTACTTCACTTTTTTTTAGTGTAATTAGCCATATTTCACTCTATTTAATTTTGCTGGATGAGTCGCTGTTTTTGTGACTATAATAAGTATTCATGCAACCTAACCAGCTTTGATCATGATGTATCTAGACGCCAACGAGACCTGTGCCAAGTTATATTCAGAGACCGGATTATGCTGATCACCCACTAGGTAACTTAAAGCAAATCACAATTATGGAGTATCATTGTTTGTTTTCTATTTTTCTTTTAATTGAAAAGCCTTTAAAGCATGAAGGAGACACAGGAGAAGGGAACCTTTTATCTGTTCTTCTCAAAGTAGCTAAGAAAGATAATACGTTTCTATGAATAGAATAATTTCCTTGTAAGTCTGATTTTCAAGGTTGTGTTATGACTAACTAGAGACAATGGTTTTATGCAGTAAGTGAACAGGTATCCTAGCACATGCGGTCATTACGATGTTGTGGAAGGCTTATGAATTCAAATTAATATGGATAATGATGATAATGCTTTGACTTAGTGTTCATTAGGGTTCATTACTTTAGTCTGTAGTGAGAATGTATGTACTTTTATGCCATTGGTAAGCCAAGTAAGTTCCTTGATTGGACATGTGTAGCAATCACTCTTCCATATAATGTGGTTTATTTATTTCTTTTTCTCCTCTGCCTTTTTTCTTTTCAGGAATGTCTGAATCAGAACAGGCTTTAAAAGGAACCTCTCAAATAAAAATACTCACATCTGAGGATATAGAAGGGATGCGAGTAGTGTGTAGGGTAAGGGGGCTTTAGTTTTCATGGTGAAGTGCCTTTATTTGTCAGAAATCCATAGTGATTTTACCAGTTTGTGACAGCACATGTGACCCTACAAACGTTTAAAGCACTTTTCAGCACTGAAAAATAGCCTGGGAAAATAGGTATTTCTTGGTTTGTTTTTTCTCCTTGTGACTCCCGATTCACAATAAACTGTTTTGCAAGAGAAAATATAACATTTATCTATTTTGTTACTAAGTGAGATGTGTGGCTGAAATGTTGTTTCTGCTAAGAATATATTGTATCGTGCATAAATGAGAACAGAACTTCTTCAAGAGTTACTACTAACTAAAAACTAAAAGGCAAAACAGAGTCTTATCCCTAACAATTATTGAAGAAAAGCTGTTCAATTGCAATCACTTTCTTGTGCATAAAGTCAAACATTGAAATGTATTCAGGTAGTCTGAGTTAAGATTATGGTATCCTAGGTAATTGTGCTCCAAATTTTAATCAGAGAATTTTCAAATCTCACAGATGTGGCTTAGTAATATAACCCATAAACATCTGAAAGTCTTTGTAGAGCCCAAGCGTGCCCAGCTTTCCTAGCATTCTTGGTGGTGGTGTAGAAAACTAATAAGTTAATTGTCTAGGAAGTAGTCTTGGTCTTATTTTAAATCGGTCCTTTTGTTTTGTTTGCAGCTTGCTAGAGAAGTATTGGATGTTGCTGCTATGATGGTGAAAGCAGGAGTAACTACTGAAGAAATTGATCACGCTGTCCATTTAGTAAGATTATTTTATTGTTCTTCCAACATTTATAAGTGCTTTCTTTTCTCTCTTTTTGTGTTGGTATTGCATAGTTTTCTTTGTAGTTACATGAATTACCTTTTTTAAACTGTTTCCCAATTTGGAGTATGGACATTAGAAATATGTGTAGGTTCAAAATGAGTTAGGAACTCCTGGGTGCCTCTCTGTATCAGCTCCTTCTGTGAGTTTCAGTTTCAGGTTCTTTCTGCTTCCTCACCTGTTTTCTTGGTTAACATTATATAATTTTCTTTTTTCTAAATCTTTTTGCTCCAAAGATACCATTGTATAAAGAACATCATATGTAGGCCATGAATGTTTTGTCCTCTGTGGTGCTGGGTAAGATGTAAAGAGGAGAAAGGTTAATTATTTATGACTAGGAATCAGAAGTGAGGAGCCTTAGAGAGAATTGAAACAAGATGTTTGATGCAATCACGCAAACTAAAGCCCAGTCCAGTGAAATATTTGAAATGAAATATATTCAACTATTTTCCTCTCTGAACTATTCATAGATACTTGAATTGAGTAATTTTTATTTCTCTTGGCTGTCTTCTTGGTGCAGGGTGTCAGCTGATAATTGGGGATACTTGTGTGCACTGTGGGGAAGGCAGTGATTATAGATAAATTTGTTAGAGAGCTTTCTGCTTGCTGATTGTTTTAGAACAGAAATGCAGATAAGCATTTGCAGCTGCTGAGCCAAGATTATAAAGAACTTACTCTGGTTTGATTGGGCCACAGGTTTCTGCTGAACTGCATTAAACACTAAACTATTTACTTACACATAATGTGTAATGTGGGCAACTAGTAGTTTAAATGGTGTTACCCCTCAGCAGTTTTTGGAAACCTTTGCGTGGCAGATGGCTGACAATGACCAATCTCTTCAATTGGTAATTTACAGTCTTAAAATGTTATTCTTTTTTTTTAAATGAAAAAAGTTAACACAGTATTCCAGAACTGCTCGGTATGTCTCAGTGTGTAGATGTATGTATATAGAAGTATGTATAAAAAGTATGCATCAGTTTTTCAAACATCCCCAAAAGGTTATCAGAGGGAGTGCAAAAAATGCAGCTTAAGGTCTCAAAGCCAGGGGTGAAAGAGTGGTGCTAGATGTCTCTTTGTCTAACTTGTGTGTTCTGCAAAGGTACTTAGACCAGGTGCTTAAAAGTCATTGAAAATTATTCATTTTTTTAGCTAGATAAGTATTTTGTGCATTATTTTAGACCTAAATATTTTAGCATTTGTAGTTGAACATAAAAATGAGTAGAATTAAAATTAAACTCTTTACTGTCTTCCTGGTAAGAAATGCAAAGCATAACAAAATAGTGTGATGTTAAAAAAATGCTTGAAGAATCTTCTTTTCCAAGGGTCACTGCATTTTAACTTGTCATTCTTACTGTAAAGCCGTTGTGCATCTGTTTGTACAAAACTGACTAATGTAAAGTGTAAATTGTATTTTCTAAATTAGGCTTGTATCGCAAGGAATTGCTATCCTTCCCCTCTGAATTATTATAATTTCCCAAAGTCGTGTTGTACGTCAGTGAACGAAGTGATCTGTCATGGAATTCCTGACAGGAGGCCATTGCAGGAGGGAGATATAGTTAATGGTAAGTGCTGTGAAAATTAACCTTCACCATTTCTACCTTTTATTCAGTTAAACCATGCAGTAAGATGAGGTTTCACTACCAGAGGCTTTTGTTCTCATTTACAAATTAACCTCTGTTCTTCATATATTTAAATCAATGATTTTAATGAAATAATTTAAAAAGCTTGGTTCATTTTAAGAGCTTTATAACACTTCTACCCTGATCTGTGCATTAGTATACTACCTGAGTATTCCACTTGTGGGCTAGGCTCCAGTTGTTCCAGACTGCATAAATAGTGAATAAAATTTATATTGAATTATTGAATGGGATCAGTTCTGCATGAATTCTTGATTAGATGGCTCTAGATCCTTAAGATTTTGCTACAGACATGATGACTATCATGACTGTAAGGATCCTAATGGTGAGGTGTTGTATAGGTTCATATTAAAAACATACACTTTTCTTGAGCATTTTGTACCAGCTGCATTTTGTTCATGGTACTCAAGGTACTTACACCTTCTTGGGTGGTAAGGAATACTTAAATTACCATTTTTTGTTTCCACATTCTTTTTTTCTTTGCTTGTCATTAAAAACTAATGACATTGGTTTTGTAGAAACATTTGCAGCTTTTTTTATTGCATTGGTTTGCTTTTCTCTTATGTGTAAATAAATACCCAGTGTATTCTAAGGTTTGGCCTATCTCTAGAAGCAGGTTGGAATTCTTTTAGATTGTCAGATATTGGGTGTGTATTGACATGCAATAAGAGCTATTAAGTCTCTTCAGAATGAGTCTCACGATTGCTGCCCATTTCTATGTCAGGTTGATAGCTCTGAGCTGTAGTGTTCATGTAACCATTTGGGCAAGGCTCCTTTATCTTTTTTTTAATTTCAAAGATGGTGCCTTTGCACAGCTCTGTTGCCAATTTTTCTGGCATTGCTGGCTGCCTGAGAAGCCTAGCTGAGTTTACTAGGTTGGCTTCATCTATATGGTGCCTTACCTCTCCACTATTTGCATGCCACAGCTGTATATAATGCCTTTTGTAAGAGGGATACCATTGTATCACATCATTGTTCACATCCATTGTTGAACATACCATTGTTCACATCCCTGCCTTGACTGCATTTGCCCAAGCTTTGAGCCTTCTGCTTTCTTTTGATGAAGAGCAACTAGCTTACTCTTTTGTAGCTGAGTAGGTCTTATTGCAAAATGGCCCACATCTTATGGGTAGAACATCCCTTCCCCATGGGCTCAAAAGGCTTCCAAGTCTTGTAGGTTTCTTTTTGTAAGGAAGTGGCTCAAAAGCCACTTTACAATAAGGAATAAAATGGGGTTCAATGGAGATAGAAAAAGTACTTTAGAGGGAATGTGCCCAGTGAACAATAGAGGGAAGTGCCCATATTTCTCTTTACTTAAAACTTTTTTGCCTGTTGGAAGCAAAACGTGGCCATGTCAGAGTCTAAACCAGGTTTTTTGTATCACAGGAAAATGTCATCCAGAAGGTACTGGTAGGTGATGTCTAGTCCGACACCCTGCTCTGAGCAGGCATCATAACATTTAATCATCTTGTTCCCTGGGAGCAGATTCTTAAACAAAGCTCATATACCTACAAGTGAGTGAGACGTTCTGGCCTAATCTGGTAATGTCAAGAGGAAGTCTTGTAATCACATGTCCTGTTGAGACAGCCTCTTTGCAGCAAGTATTCTGGACACTGTGTGAAGGAGCTCTGATAGACGGTTCACAAGAAACTTGCTTGGATAAGTTACCAGGGTCCTGTTGTTAGTTACTAGGTAGTATTCCAGTAGTCCCGCACAATTCTGCAGTGAGTATAGTGTAACCCTGTATGTGCACGTATCCACAGCAGGCGGGATTGGTTTTGTGTAGTGTTAATTTCATTCTTAAACATTTACCAGCAGTACAGATTTATTGCTGACACCAATGGTTTTCCCCCACATTTTCCTGTCAAGGCTGTACTGGTCTCTCTAAGGGGCTCATGCAACATATTCCTAAAGTGTTATTGCCCAGTACAGTTTCCTTCATGGCTATGTACCAGTGAGGGCTAGTGGTTTTGGTACAGCTATTAGACCTATCAGGCTACTGACAAAAGCCTGATAAACACAGAAATACCCATTCTACCACAGGAAGTCAACTTGATATGCAAATCTAGAATATTTTGCTTGTGTTTGCTGTATATGATGACTAATTTTTCACTTGTCTGCTATAAAAGACAGGATACTAAAATAGTTGTCAGCTGTTTCTAAACTGGTAAGCCTGTTCCCATGTTTTGTAAAAGGACTATTTGCAGCGAGCATCTTGTATGGATGTTCTTAATCAAAAAAGCCTATCTTTTTTTGCAATGAGTTAAACTAAAAAAGTTTTTTTTTCCTCATTGAAATTACTTATGCTGCTATTTTTCAAGACTGAGTTATATCACTTTGAGTTTACAATCAACATTATACACAAAGCAAATGAGTTTTGCTGCAACATAATTCTAAACTCTTACTATATGTTCTTCTAAACCTTGGTTATTTAAGCATGCCCTTCTCATTCTTGCTGTTTGCCTGATACCACATGCTTAAATTATTTCATTTGAAAGAAGAAAAGAAAAAGTTCTAAGTAATTTAGTATATTTTTCGTAGTCAAGAATATTACTGGACAAGTTGCTGTGTATTCAGTGTTGAAGAAATGTTACCTTCTTGGCTGGAAGCAGTGGGTTTTAGCATTACAGTTTTTGCAAAGGTGTAACTACTCTAAACATGCATGGAAGCTTTTTCACAAATGAAGAGACAAAGTGAGAAATACACTGCTAATATTACAGTATTTCTGGTATTCCTTGCAGTGGATATTACTGTCTATCGTAATGGCTACCATGGAGATCTGAACGAGACATTTTATGTTGGAGAAGTTGATGAGGGTGCAAGGAGGCTTGTCCAAACAACTTACGAGTGCCTAATGCAGGCCATTGATGCAGGTAAACCCTTTGGCTGGAGCCTGAAGCATTTTGGTTTCAATTCTCAACCATGAATGCTCCTGTTTGCTACTATGGGGAGTGACTTCTGTTGTAGGACACAGAAGTGTTAGTGTGTGTCACCAGCAAATGATGTATAATACCGTGATTCTTCAAATGGCACAGTTCTGTGGGTAGTGTTGCAACTTTTACTTGTAATGTGGGTTGACAAGGAAAATGTAACTGATGTTCAGCTGATCCACATATGATGATACTTAAATGGAAACAGCCTTTTTAGACTGTTAGATGAATAAAACATCCTCAAACCAAGTTGTTTAGAGAACGTGAAGAACAAAGTGTGTTTGGAAAATCAAAGTATGGCTTCCTACTTTGATAATGTGAACAATGTTGCACAATGAGCCTATTAGGCAAAAAAACTCTGAACATTTAAGTGTATCTCTGTCCCTTCCAAACCTAATGGTTATTTCATAAAGCTAATTACGAGCTTTTCATTTTCATCTTTATGCAAGAAAAGACAGATCTATATCCTTCAGTACCCACAGAACTTCAATTATGTTGCTTAGATATGTCAGGGTAGCTTCACTGAGACATACCATGAGATAGAAAGAATGTCATGTTCAGCTCCATTCACAAAGGAATATACTATGTTCTCTTAGACAAATGGAGAAAAGAAACCAGAAATCTCCCAAGTGCCTGCAAATATTTGTATTATCTGTTTGGTTTTTTTTTATACCCTGCAGGTTTTTAAAATCCCCAGTAAAATTCACTCACTTCAAGGCCTTTGAAGACTGAAGTTTAAGGTGCTAGATCTGAAGTCTTTAAACTTGCACTTAATCAAAAGTAAATGAAAAAAAAACAAACTATAGTAGCTTACTTTGGTTAATAATTTGGAGATGGCTAGCCAAGCTGAGAAGACAAATCCATGTGAATGATGCCTTGCGTATCCATTGTGTGATCAAGAAAGTACTGCAGAGTTGAGCTGTGAAGAACATAAATTACCTGTTTATGTGGGATTACTGTTCTAAAACAGCCACTTTGTTTCTCAGAGCTAAATCAGAATGTTTATCTTTACTCCTATACTTTATTTTTATAGCAAATGTTACATCTGTCATCTTTCATATCCTGATGTATAAACTAGGACAGAAATCCACCTTCATGTTAATTATAATAAGATTTAAACTCTCAATGTAAGTTCACCAGCTTTCTAGATGCTGTAACAGGTTCTAATGGGTGTTAGACATTCCCTGTTAGTAGGAATTCTGGTAGCAAACGTCCTGGCTGTTAAAAAGGGTTGCCTCTCCCCTCTTTAAATCATCTTAATTTCTTGGCACTGTACCGGCAGAACTCTCACTTAGGAGAGTTTTATGAGAGAGAAGCAGAGGGCTCCTTGCTGCTTTGAGATGAGTTGCTTGATATTGTCAGGCCTGAAGAAGATGGTGCTTCACAACTAGTAGCATAAAAACAACAGATTGATGTTTCCTTTCTCACCATGTCTTTTTATTTTTTTAAATTATTTTGGGAAAAGCATGCACATTCTAGTAATCTAAATTTCTTTATTTTCTGTAAATTCAACTTACAGATTTAAGTTGTAGTTTAAGTTGGCAGAGAATTTTACTAAGTGGCTTTGTTCTTACAGAGTTTTAGCTTTGTATGTGAACTCTGCTTAAGATGCTCCACATAACCACACTACATCTGGCTCCTGAAGGAGCAGCATGTATTCAGGGAGTTGTGAATGATCTTGAAATAGCATTTACATTCTTTATTTTTTAGTGTCTCAAGGTTGCTTTTGGTATGCATCTTCATTGGCTGATGGAGGAGGCATTGTTGCTTTTATGGCATTATTACTCCCTTGTCCAAGTGCTCAAAGTGATTTCTTTCACACAGTTCTCATTTGTTTCAAACTCTTAATGTTTAAGGCTTCCTAAAAGTTAGCCCTGCATATGAATGTTCTGATTTGCTGCAATGTTGCCACTAAAAATCTTGCAGAGATACCCATTTTGGTTTTTCCCCTTCTTGGTCCTTCACGTATAATCATTTTTCCTCTTGATCTGTGTACATTTTTCACATAGTAGTAGAGAGATAAGTGTGTAATGAAATAGAGTTCATGCATTCATTGAACAAAGCACTGCAACTGTTAGTATGAGAAGTTACCAAGTACTTTCATAGAATCATAGAACAGTTTGGGTTGGAAGGGGCTTTCAAAGGTCATCTAGCCCAAACCCCCTGCAATGAGCAGGGACTTTGAAAGCCTTTCATTGTCTTTAGTTTTAAACTTCAGTGTCCTTTTAATATATGAGCACTTACATCCACAAAAGGAAGGAAGTAGTGTTCTTGTGAAAGAATTTTTATTCTCTCGTTTTCTCTTTTACATAAGACACTTTCCTCCCTCTCCCACGTTACTGCACTCACTTTTGTACTTGGTGGATTAAGTGATGATAGGAAGTTGCATTCTAGAACAGATGGCCACACAAGCCGTGAGCACTACAGAGATATTAGCCTGCATGGTGTTTGGTTAGTTAAGTTGAAAGCAAGCTCTATAAATTTGCATCTCTCTAATTTTGCAGTGAAACCTGGTGTTCGGTACAGAGAACTAGGAAACATTATTCAGAAACATGCTCAAGCAAATGGATTTTCAGTGGTTCGGAGCTACTGTGGGCATGGAATCCATAAACTTTTCCATACGGCCCCTAACGTGCCACATTATGCCAGTGAGTATTCATTCCCTTTGAGTTGTCCTGTAGACAAGAAGTGGTTTGCATTGAATGCCCACAATTTACTATTTTCTTTTATTCAAACAAAGTAGCATGTTACCTGACAGCCATTAAGGTAGCATTTCTGAATTCATGAAATAAGTTTTTCTGAACTCTATACCATTGCATGCTTTATGAACCTAAATATGGTGAATTTATCAGATATTTAGACAGTTGTGCCTACACTAATGGATAGTGTTGGCTCTCATCTGTATTGAGTAAGTACTCAATGTTTTTGCCTGGATTCTCAGCTAATCCCTTAAACATCCTTGTCTGACATGAATGGGCAAATGTTTCTATCCTTAGAAGGCCTATAATGCCATTTCCAGATGTAAGTAAAAGGCTTTTTGAAAGTGGCTGAAAACTTTCTTCAGTCAAACTACACTCCTAGAGATGTGCTCTGCATCAGTTCCTGTGCCTCCACATAAACATTTTTGGTGTATATCACATTGGAAATTTCTGGTGTTACTGTCCTGGATGCCTTGGAATTCTCTGCCTTTTTGTTTGCTGAAGACATGTGGTATTTTCACACTAACACTGCAATGACCCCATTAGGCAGAGTAACAGTGGAGCAGCGTGTCTTTCATGAATGGCATCGCAGGATTACTTAACCACGATCATATTTGGACAATTTATTTGAGTTAATGGTTCAGTGGAAACAAATTAAGAGGTTTCAAACCTTCTCTGGATATCTTAAGTGCTTCTTATTTGTATTGATTTTTTTAATGACGATTTTCATCATGGAAGTCTGCAGAAATTCCTGTATTGCAGTTGTTCAGTGTTTTCATAGAACTGGAGTTGAACTCCAGTTATTGGAGAGAAAGACAGCAATTCATTTTAAACTCCTTGAGTAAGTATTGTGGTGTTGGAGGAGGGGGAGAAGGAAAATACTCAGGGAGACCTTAATGTAGAATTAAAAATGGACAAGTGAGCGGCTCATCTCTGAGGAGCTTTTCTGAATTCACAGTATTCCTGCTGTATTATTCTAGGACAAGGATTCATTCATTTAGTAAGATGGGATCACTTTTTCTAATGCGAGTATTTTTTTTTTTTTTTTCCAGAAAATAAGGCCGTTGGAGTCATGAAGCCAGGTCATGTATTTACAATTGAGCCAATGATCTGTGAAGGTGAGCAATTTAGCAGTACAGTAAATTGGTTACTGTTATTTACCATTCAGTAGTGACGGAATAGGATGCTGGTTCTATTCAGTACAGTTGATAGGTTTTTCGTTTCTCTTTGGGGAACTGTGTCTGTTACTTAAAACCAGTCCAAAAGTCACGCTTTATGTTTTCAGGTGGTTGGCAAGATGAGACATGGCCTGATGGCTGGACTGCAGTGACAAGGGATGGAAAGCGCTCTGCCCAGTTTGAACACACACTCCTGGTCACCGATACAGGCTGTGAGATCCTGACACGGCGGCTGGATAGTATTCGTCCCCATTTCATGTCCCAGTGAGAGTTTAGACTGAGCAGGTGGAGCTGAATGATCCTTTTTTTCTTTATTTTTGTGTCCCTGTACTATGCATTTTTTTAAGAGTACAGAATAGAGATTTCAGCATTTACTTTGTTCTCAGTGATTAAGATAAGAGGAATATCTTGAAGAACCTGAGGAAAGCAGAGAAGAATTTAAGGAATTTCCTGCTTTACCTACAACACTCATGCTGTATTTTTCTTTTTATTTCAATTATCTGTTTAGCACCTTTCTTCCAATTAGACCCACAATTGCTTCTGTTACTGCCATGATATTAGCTAGAAAAGCGTGGGTAACCTTTCCCACTGGGACTTGATATTTTGGGATCCAGGTTTTTTCACCACTTCAATGTGCCCTGTCACTCTTGGGATGTGAGTGCCACCTGAGATTTTAAGCATTTCTAGTTCCAAAGACTTGCTCCTGCTTCTGGAGGTACTGTTCTAATGGGCTGGACTTTGTTTATCACTTGAGAAAGGGGCAGAAGGGAAAGACACATGCATGTTGCCAAGAACAGGCTACCCTTACCTTTATTTCTGTTCCCATCTCCCTTGTGATGGCCTCTGTGGTGACTGCAACTTAGGTGACACAGTTAATGGCAGGACTTGTTTCTCTTTCTGGAGAGTTGATAGTATGGGCTTTCTACAGGGAAAAATAATAAATTCTGTCTTATATGCAGCTCCCTGGAATAAGCTGCTTCTTGGCAAAGCAGTATTTCCAGGCAGTCTCCTGCTCCAAAAGCTTAGTGAAGCTGATGTGTCAGACTTGCCTAGGTAAAGGAATGAAACAAGTACCAAAAAGATCCCAAGATTCTTGGGATCCCCAAGCGTGTGAACTGGGGGACATATTTTTTAAAGGTACCTCCACAGAGCTGTGGGGGATACGATTTGCAAGACTTGCAATGAAAAGAGTACATGCGTATCTCAAAACAAGTCTGTGAGCAAATGAAACACCTTTGATGCTGTATTCATTTTCATTTGGTAATTCCTAAACAGGTCATGTTTTTCCCTCCCTCAGTTAAGTGAGTTTCATGCTTTTGGGAATGCTTAGGGGGCAGCTATGGAAATGATCTTTTTTTTTTTCTCAGATTGGGTATAGAGTGGGCAATGTTAGTATATATATATATCCCCCTTTATTTTCTGTTCGTAGGTAATGATGAGCTGGAAACTGTCATGTTAAAGGCTATGGATTGATTAAGCCTCTCTTCTCTCTACCCTTTCTTTTCCCGTACCCACTTTACCCACTTAGGTCCTTTCCACCATCTTTGGTGTCTCAGCTGAGGGAATTTATTTTTTCTTCTGAATTGTAATGAAAAATGTTTCAGACCCCACTGCAGACTTAGTCTTACACCACTGTAATGCAAAAAATAGTTAAACCAATGCAGACATTAAATCACACAATCATGGGCATAAAATACACCTTTTATATGGTGTCTGATGAATTTGTTGCCACATTAGACCCAAGAATATGAGGTACTGCATACCATACCCTTGGCTCCCCTTAGCACTGCAGAATTTAGGTGGGGGAAAGGGGTTAGTGCTTCACAGAACTGGACTCGTGTACTACCAAATACCAAACTTGCCAGAAAATGTCTTCTCTGCCCTGAGTGCCTCAGACCTCTGTTGCTGTAAGAGCATCATTGCAATGTTTTCATTACCTTTATTGTTATTTTTAATTATGCAGTAAAGTGACCTGAACTGATGCATAAGGAGTGCATGTGTGTGCGTGTGTGTGTGTACAGATTTTAACAGGACAGATTGTAGTACTTGAGTTGAATTACCTGTGTTGAATGAGATGTAATGTATTGAGGAGATGATTGTTCTGAAGGTTTGCCCACCATATCATTCAATTGAATGGTTACAATGGTCTTGCCTTTTCTATGTGTGTGTATGATGGGGGGGGAGGAGGGGGGGCTTCACTTTTGGTCTATAAAATAAAAGTTGCAGCTGCTTTTAACAGAAATAACTTCTTGTGATCCAACCCAGATGTGACATTCTTGGTTATATCCAGGTTTGATTGCACTAGTGCAAGCCGTAATGGTATATGCATGCAGCCAGTCAAAAATCTCCCTTAAACGAGCACGTGTGCCGCTGGAATACCTCTTTGTCATTGTACCAATACAACCAAATTTAACACTGCACGTTTTTAATATAGGTAAACTCTGGGGCTGTGCATTTCTGCCTATAAACTGAAAGAATAGTGTGAGAATTATTTATACTGAGTTCATACTAGTACACAGTATTTTTAAACAAGTAGAAAGCTTAGTCAGCATCTACACTAGGTTTTTCAACAGATGGCACATCAGCCTGAAGAACAAAACTTGCTTTAAAATATTGTGAAAGTCTATTTTCTCACCTATCTAGCTGAAACTTTGCTTGGAAATACTAGATTTGTACTGACTGCATTTGGGAAATTACCTGGTTTTGATTCTTACAAAAGTTGCTATTCACTTAAAAAAAAAAACAAAAACCCCAGCTTAAATCTATTTTCTAATGAAATTTTTATAAATTGTATACACTTTTGCAAGAAAACCAACCGCATTCCTGCAATTAGTTCTGAAGCAATCTCTTAATATATTCCCCTTACTATCATGTAAGAGTGTATGGAAACTCTTCATGCTGCTTCTGCAAGTTGACATAAATATTGGAGGAGAGATTTGATAGCCGATTTTGAATAAAAGTAACAGGATGAAGAGAGGGAACAAGCTGCATCTTCTGTGTGCCAGCTAGCAGAGTACATACACGTTTCACATAATCATTTGGTGGAAACATTTTGTCCACTGAAGTCTTTACAGATGGTGCGGTTCAGTCCCCTGATCACCAAGGATGGGGTACAAGCTCTTGAGTTTGAGTCCTGTTGCTAGCTCAGCAACTTCAAAGAGACTATTTCAAACATGCTCCATTGAATCAATTACTTTGCAGGACAAAGTAGTCTGAAAGCTGCTATGTAACAGCTAGGCCATCAGTTCTTCAGACTGGGAAGAACCTGTAGGTCTTTTAGTGCTCTGGTATCACTAAATGTCTTTTGCTGTTACTTTGGTATGACAAGACTAGCTTTCCACTCTTAAGATGTAGATTCTCTAAGTAATAATGTAATGCAGACAACATGATTATATGTTCTTGATCTAGTCTGCACAGCCTAGAGGAACAACTGTTACAGCATAAATACTTTCAATCTGTTAGATCCAGTTGGGGCTAGTTTTGTTAAGATGTTGAGCTAATATTCTGTTGATACCATCTTATAGAATACTCTCAGTGGAACAGCTTGACAGCAAGTTTCTACTAATCTGTCTAATGTTTAGCCAGCATTTCTGAGCTATAAGGTACTGCCACTTCACTGCTGTGGTGGAAGGCTCACGTTCCTGGTACAAACTCACTTTTTATTTCTTCTGGTTGCTCAAAATTGAGTTCTTATGGCATTCACAGGAGTCAATGCTGTTGTTTACCCTGCCTGAAATGAAGTTAGAAAAGCAGCTCCCTCAACTATTTTTAGAATGCTCTAGGGATACCTTGCTAATGATAAATGGGAAAGATGTAATTGTCCCAGTTGTACAGCAGTGACTTGAGTAAGGTAGTTGTTAGTGTTGAGAGGGAATTTCTTCTAGTAAGACCTTCGTTTGCATTCAGGGTTTCCTGGAGGAGTTGTTTTGACAAGGCTCCCTGAAAATATGAAACTTCTCTCTTAAGCAGTGTCCTTGGGTCATTGAAAAGCACTGACTTTTGCTGTTACAACTTCAACTGGGTAGCCTTTCTGCCTCTGCAGTCTGTTTTCTGCTATTCCTCTGTGTTTTTAAGGAAGTTTTATCTGGTTAGATCACTTCAACTATAGTTAAGGAGAAAATCTGCAACTCCAACATTAAGATTTAAACCTTCCTCCTCCAAAAAAACCCAACCAAATTAATTTCACAAACCCCTGAAGCCTTTATGAAATGATGCTCTTCACTGTTGTTCCCCTGCATCCGTCAAGAGCAGACTGTTGCTCTAATAGTAACATTCCATGCTTGACTAAATAGAGGTAACAATCCCACACTGTTTATCAGTGTTGGCTGCAAAGGCTGCTTCAACTGTGCCAGTACATTTAAGGAAATGGCAAAACTGCCACTGAATGAAGTCTTAGAGGACACCACTAAGGCAAGTGACTAGAGTAGTCTGGGCCATCACCTTTACAACAGGCCTACCTACAGGTACTGTAATAAGGCAGAATAGGGACTTCCCAAGTGAACCTGGGTACAGCTGGACACTTAGGTCATACATCCAACCACATTCTGCTGTACAGCTGGCTTCAAGGTAGAGCTGGGTGGAACATCACTGGGAGTCCTAGAGCAGCCTCAGAAGCCTGACAACTGTCAGGAGTTCTTCCCACTCTCTCAGTACAGTTTCAGCACATCAGTGCTGCTTCTCAACCCAGCTGTGATTAGCAGACTGCCTAGAGTAATGAATCACACATCATTTCCTACTGATGCTGAAGAATGCTCTGTCATGTACACACTGTAAAGTCATTAGAGGAAAACAGTCAAGACACAGCAATCATAGTCACAGTCTTACTGCTCAATAATTACAACATTGCTTAGAAATAAGCTTTTATTAAGTAGATTAATGGAGTTAGGAACTATTGAATTTGCAGAACAAGTTCCACAACCAGTGCTAATTATATAACACTATTCAGTGATTACTGATTGTTTTTGTTATTTAACGTTTAGAATGCTCACCCTAAAATACATCATCTTTCTAGTCCCAGTGAGTTTTCATTTACTTGGTTCTGTGATTCTATCAGAAGTTCCATTATAAAAGGAGAGTTACCATGTTGCTGGTCAACTGGAAGGTCCACCTTTGGTTCTAAAGCTTTAGAACAGTTCGAATGCTTAAAATGCAAAAAGAAAAGGAAAAAAGAGTTACCAGTAAGTCCGCTTTTTCCCCTTTCTTCCCTCCCTTTCATTGCTGAGACATACTTTAACTTAACTTTGTCTCTTTCAAGAATGAAGTTATGCTTATGCCTATAATATTTAATAAAAATCCTGGTTAAAAATGGGTTGGTAATGCTTGTTATCTTTGGGTTTGTTTTTTTTTTTTTTATAGTCTCTCCCCCAGTAAGATGCACTCAAAGTGGAAGCTTTTTCAAACTATGAGTGTCAGTTTTCAGGAACATTAATATTTACAGGCATTCCCTCTTCTGGCTGCTTGGAGAATTTTAAATAACTTCCATTATTAGTTTCATAGGACATGCTCAGGTAGGAAATAAAAGCAGTTTGTAACTGGCAAAGGGGATCAACTCTTGGGTGAAATTTGCACAGATGCAGTGTTTCCAATTGTAAAAAGTACAAATGCAGTTACTGTTAACTGACATTCAAAATAGGAATACATTGAGGTAAAGAACATAGTTACTATTTCAGCAGCATATTAACAGATCATTCCAAGAGATTGACTGTGCTGGTAATCTATCCCAAGTAGTTTGAAATACACTGAAATCTACTATTTAACTAAAATAGATAATACCTTAATGACTTGTACAAATGTATGAATGTGAACTCCCCTTCAGTCTCCTGAGGAAGAATATTTTAGCAGTGTTGGAAGCCCAAGACAGACTTGTCCCCATCATCAGCTTTACATTCCTGTGTAATTCCCTTATAAATTGTTGCTTCCTTTTTACTCTATGCCTGTGTTTTGCACATGCCTAAAACCTCAGAGAAAGTGTATTTGTTTATCTCTGAATGAATGTGTGTGGTATATATCAGCCTTTATCCTCCCTGTTTAAAACAGGATACTGAGCAGGGAACCTGTATTTTGACAGTGTCTCATCAAGAAATGTCTTCTGCACCTTTCAGTATTAGGAACATTACCTCTTTCCTGCATGCATCAGCTCAAAAGCCTCATTAATTCTGTCAAAAGGTAGGGTGTGAGTCACAAATTCATCAACCTTGATCTTTTTGGACATGTAGTCAGTCACCAGTTTTGGCACACTGTCTACGCTCTTCCAGCCTGAAAGACACAAAGCACACGATTGTGTTTTGCCTTTCCACCCACCTCAGAAAAAACAGAAGGAAAAAAAAATACAATCTCACACAGGCGCTTGTGTGATATATATGAAAAGGAACTAAGATCAGTGATATGTTTGTACCTCCTGCTCTAGGCAGGCATTAAGGAAAGCAAGACAAGAGCTAGGTCAGGCAAGAGCACATATTATTCAGACACCTAAGTGCACTAACTTTTCACTAGGTATTTCTGCATTCAACGTAACAGTGGCCCTGAAAAAAAGCCCTAGGAAAGCATGCACGAGGCATCTCTGTCAGCACCTCTATGTATCTTTATAACCCAATTAAGTATTGTATTACTTGGAGAAAGAGTAGTGTAATAATACCATCAAGTTTGGATATTTCCACAATCTTCAGCAACTACTGAATCCCCGAGCAATCAGTAGCTCTGAAAGTGGCAGTGTGGTTTTGGTCTGACAGCAGAAAATGTGGATCAAGCATTTGCTGCTTTTTTACTTTAAAGCTCTTTATAGCACATTCCCAGGTTAGCCCTACAATCTGCTTAGTGATTAAGCAACACAAACATGTTTATGTGAGTTCTCATCTTCCCAAAGACTAGGTCCTTTCACTGGACCAAACTGAATCAAACCTTCTTTGGGTGATAAAACAATCTACAGTGCTCCTTTAGTACTAAATAGCATATAGCTATAGCTCTCCTCAGAACACGTGAGAT